GATGGTAAAATGAAATACTTCATTGAAAATTCTTTTTTGTTGACTAAAGTGTTTTTATAGGAATGTCTTTTCCCAGCTGTCAGAGATATTTTCTCTAACTCCTGGTATCTTTACAGATCTGAACTACTGCACTCACCACAGACCGTGCAAAAATGGAGCGACTTGCATGAACACTGGCCAGGGCAGCTATACGTGTTCATGCAGACCCGGCTTCACCGGTGTGGACTGCGAACATGAGATCAGCGAGTGTGACAGCAATCCCTGCAGGAATGGTGGTAGTTGCACGGTAAGGGCATTTTAAATGTAAAGTCTTTGTGTGAAGCAAGCCCCAGGATACCTTTTCAGATACGGTTCTGTAACAGCATAATGGGAATTCGATAGTGCACAGGTTCGTTACTGACGCTCACAACTAGCATACTGAACCCTTCCCGAGAGGTGTCAGGGGAGGAAGTCTGTTACAGGAGGAGATGTATCATCTAGATTAGAACTAGTCAACTGATCCTTAGGTTTCTGTGGCAGCCATTATGAGAGCTTGGCAAGATCCAAGGCTGGTGAGGGAGCAGATCTGTAAAAAAATGAGCTTCCTAAACCAAGGTTCGTACAGAAATGCCCTAAGTCTGTTTTTCAATCGCAAAGAAATGAAAACTTCTGCTTTCTGCTATGGGAGTGTAGTGTCAGACAATATGAGGGCAATCAGCTAAAACACGTTCTGTGAAACAAGTTTCTGCATTCTTAGTTTCCTGCAGTCTAGTGTTTCAGTCTTTTTTGGGACCCAGTCAATGACTGATTCTACCTGTCAATAAAGACTAGTCGATTATAGATATCAAATGCGATCTGATGCTTATTTAGATTAAAGCTAATGGTGCAAGACCCTAGCTGCCTTCTCCCAAGGCCTTGGACATAGAGTACTTGGAAAGAGGAAGCAATTTTGTTGTGATCAAAGCAGTAGGATTTATCCATGGCAGAGCAACATAAGCCCTTGTGAAGCAAAAAAAGGGCTCTCATGCCAAGGATAAATGGCCTGATCACAGCTGTGTAGGTTGACACATACCATCATGCTCTGGGAGGGCCTGAAGGATCCCATTAGACAGTAGTGGTGTCAGCAATGTTTTTGCCTAGTTGCCAGTGGGCTCCCTACGACTGCATCTGCTCTGCTTGTGTAGCTGCATGATTTCTCCTACATGCTGAGCACGGCTGATTTCCAGCTCTATCCCTCTCAGACCAACCTGCCGTTATTCACTCCCCAAATGTCGCTTCTTTTTGTCACATCGGAGGGTGGATGAGAAGGGACAGCACAGCACTCGTTGCCAGCCACAAAGAAGCATGCAAGCATTTGGTGCCATCAAATAACAGTGTCCTAACGTTGTGTTTTGCAGGATATGGAGAACGGTTATCACTGCCTGTGCCCCCCTGGCTACTACGGCACCCACTGCGAGCACAGCGCTTTGACCTGTATAGATTCTCCGTGCTTTAACGGCGGCACGTGCTTGGAAAAAGAACAAGGGGCCAGCTACACTTGCGTTTGCCCTTTCGGCTTCACGGGGTCAAACTGTGAAAAAAAAGTAGACAGGTGCACAAGCAACCCCTGTGCAAATGGTGCGTCTTCTTCTTCTTCTCATAGAAATCTCGTGTCTCCGACGCGTTTGTGCTTTTCAGTGCAGAAGTGATAGAAATCCAATCTGACCTCTACTCTTCCTCCAATACATTAGTCCCTCACCCCCAGTGTATTCCACATCTACCCTAATTTTGATCTCTCGCTGGGTGGGGGGGTTTCACTGGCATTTTCTATGCAACAAAATAATGTGCAGGGTTTATTATGTGATGGGGAAGAAGGCATAATTAAGTAAATTAAATTGACTTCATTATATATTTAGAAGAGCCATATTTTTAAGGCACGGTTAGGTAAATTAGAAGGAACTTTTAGATACGTGGTTGTTTTGTAAAATAACCTCCCTCTTCCTGAGATAGTACAAAATGCTAACTGGGAGGAGGGGTTTAGGCTTCTGAGTGAAGTGCATTGCTTTTTATTTCTATTTTTATTACTTTTTTTTTTCCTCAGATGGTAATTGCTTTTACCTTGGTCAAATTCGTGTGTGTCGTTGTCGGGCTGGTTTCTCTGGTCAGAAATGTGAAATAAACATCAATGATTGTGCCAGAAACCCGTGTTCCAATGGGGGAACTTGTCATGACCTGATCAACGATTACACCTGCACGTGCTTGCCAGGCTACAGTGGCAGGAACTGTGACATCAAAACCAGAGATGAATGTGCTTCTGGACCATGTGAGAATGGAGGCACATGCTACAGCGGACTTTATAGTGCCAACTTTGTCTGCTACTGTCCTTCTGGCTTCATGGGCAATCGTTGTGAATTGCCAGTTTACTCAGTGCCCGTTACACTTCCTCCTAAACCAGTCCCCTGGATTGCTATATCCATGGGGGTGGGGCTGGTGGCTTTGCTCATACTGTTCTGCATGATAGCAATGGTCATCAGGCAGATGAGGATGCACCCAGAGCAGGACTTGGAGACAATGAACAACCTGTCTGACTTCCAGAAGGACAATCTCATTCCAGCTTCCCAGCTCAAAAACACCAATAAGAATAAAGACCTCGAAGTGGACTGTGGGCTGGAGAAGTCAAACTACAAACCCAAGAATCATAAACTGGACTACAACCTAGTAAAAGACCTGACAAGTAGAGGGACACAGGAAGATAAATATTACAAAAGTGAAAAGTGTTTAGGAGAAAAGTCTCCCCTCCGACTACACAGGTGAGAGTCTTTCTCAGTCTTCCTTCTGGTCTTTCTCAAGGCCTCTCATCTTCATACCAGTCTAGAAGCAGATGAGAAAATATGGGGGGGGAAATAAAACCATCAAGGTGATAACATTCAAAACAAACCACATCAAAGCCAGGAATCTTCATACTGGAGTGTGTGTGTCATGCCCAAGTGGGATCCTTAGCCATGTTGATCAAATTGAGTGTTTGTGCAGGGTGCTGCTGGTATGGGTATTGTGAAGTGGAACAGGGGTGGCTAGGCCAGTGGTGAGAGTAAGTGTCTTTCCTTCTTCAATAGATTTTGAAGGAATAACAGTTCAGGCATGTAGTGATTAAAAATAAGTACTTCGCTTATTAAGATGGCAAAATGATTTGCTTACTGAGAAGAACGATAGTGTAAAAATAACTACATTCACTGGCCCATCATTCTTCTCATATGTACTGAAATTCTTGTCCGGGATCTGCTTGCGGCTCTTCCACTGAGGGGTCTGAGGAGCACACTAGTAGGTTGGAGATGGCAGAAGCATAGGAAGACAGTAGCTATTCCTTATTTCCACTTTTCTAGTATAATGTCCTGCCATCACCTAGAACACGTGAAACTTCATCCTCCGCACTTCCCTCCCATACCTTCACGGCTATCTCATTCCACCCCTCCATATTCATGGTAGATTTTGAGAGCTGGGCTTGTTAGTAGTCAACTAATGTTCTTTCCTCTCTGCCCTGCCTTAGTGAAAAGCCGGAATGTAGGATATCAGCGATATGCTCTCCAAGGGATTCAATGTACCAGTCCGTCTTTGTGATAACAGAAGAAAGGAATGAGTGCATCATAGCCACAGAGGTAAGTACCTACATAGGTGGACAGGCATAAAGTCACAAAGTTTAGGGGTAAATTATCCTTTATAATTGCATCTGAGAAGGTTATGCTGTTTCTAGGGATTCCAGATGCTTCCCAGCACTCACCTCTCATCTTCTGTGGCCCACACAGAACATACTGTGGGGCAAATAAAGAAATTAGCAGCTCTGATTTTATTAAACCAGAGATTTTTGAGCTTACATAAGTCAGCAGGAGGTGAAAGCACAGAACATCAGCCTATAAAAATTCAGTCCACGATAGGATTATTTCCTCTTAAATAGGTAGTCAGCAAAAATTGAAATAATAGTCACTCATAGGTCCATTAATGTAAAGCCATGGTTTTTCCCATTACTACCATGGATAATCTGTGTTTTGTGGAAACAGGCAAAGCTATAGATTTCCAGCAGAAGACAGAAGGTTAGGTGTTAGTGGATAGGCATAACAGCCATTTAGGATGTCTGTAATGAGGTAATTTCAACTTCTTGGCGTTAAGTTTCTTATGTTACTGGTAAACACATCTAGAATTTGATGTTATTTTGAAAGTCAGAAGACAATGCAAACACAAGGAAAGGTCAGCAGTGAACAATCCAAAGATTTTAAACAGCAGTTATTGAAGAACCAACTGGTTCCTGAAGAATTACTGACCCTTTGGAAAAAGGTTCAGTGGAAGTTAAAGGCAATTTAGCATTAACCAGTACCTGCTTTCTTCAGCATAGCCATCTTCAGGACTAGTTTCAGGTAGTTTCAGGCTCTGGGAAAGGGAGGTTTGCTGTTCCATACAGCAGTGATCTGTCAGGTCAGATCTGCAGGATTCTGTCTCCTTTGCCCGGGTGGATAGCAGATTTCCTCTTGAAGGCAACTGGGAATGCAAGTCAACCAACAATATTAAAAGTTTAAGACTAAGTGAAAGGATTTTCAAAGATACAAATGAGAGCTAGATGCTTCATTCCCATTAACTGACCTAAATACCGTATCTTCATTTGAAGATCTTTGTTGACCAAAGCTAGACTCCCAGATTTACATCAGGCATCTCCACAACTCTTTTTATTTTCAGAATAACAGCCCCTGAAACCTCTCTCCACATCATTCAGGCTTAATGCTTCTGAACACAAGCTCTTTAACTATACCATATGCTTTTTACAGAGACCTAATGTTAGGCACCCAGATATGTAAGCATTCTTTCCCTCAGTCCAGGTAGAGAGGCTATTCATCATGCAGACAACTCCTTTGGCTGGTGATTCTTTGTCTTTGAACTCAGCCAAAAACCGAATTGAATGCTGCTAGTTAAACTGCAGACACGTCTGGCTTCAGTTGCTTCGGCTGAACATACTTGAATGACAGTTTGTTAGTTCTGCAGTACTCTGTACGCTGCGCTTCCTTCTCATTCCTGGTATTGTTTTATATCCCGACAGGTATAAGACTGAAGATCAGCCCATTTGCACCTCAGATTTGGTAATGCCAGTAGATGGACGTTCCTGCTGCATTGTTTACAATTCAGAACTGGATTGGACTGTTTTTAATTACATGCAACTTGCTGCTCTCAGGCGGAGGATGGAACTGGGTGAACTGGACAGACTGTGAATTTACTGAAAGATGCAATACACCTTTTTGTTCTTACTGCCCTTGTTTGAAGTTTGATGCCAGAAATCTCACTGGCTATAGAAGAGGGGAGGCAGAGGGAAGAGAGAGGGGTTAAAAAAAATATGCTGTTGTTTTAATTTGTTTTTAAAACATATTGAGGCCAGTTCCTCATGGACAGACCCCTGGCTTTCCAGAACTCCGGTTATGGGAGGTGCCGGTAGATGAGGAGGCCCTTCACTATCACAGATGTTGCCATGGAAGGTGTGAAGAAAGACACATTGCTATGCAGCTAATGGATACAGTATAAATGAGGTCTCGACTTTTTTTCCGGGTTTAAAAAGTGCCTAAAATGTGTCAAGAGAATCTAACAAGCCCAAACGGAGACTTGACTGCTCTTTTTGCAGTTACCTGAACAGTATTGGGCAGGAGTGGTTGATACTTCCCTGCTACACATCTATTTGCGTCTCCTCTCTCCTGCTGCATGTACTGGAGATGGTGTAAGGGGCGAGAGGAGGAAGGAAAGAGGAATACCGAATTTACATGTCATCTCATTCGGTGACGCTTTGGAGAACTGATTGACCCAAGCCACAATATGGGACAGGATTTTTGTGGATTTAAACATTTGAGAAGGAAAAGGTGTGATAAGGAATGTGTAATGCCTCTTCCCCATTGATAAGGAGGAGGCGTGATCCCAGCTCTATTTAAAGCCTTACAAATGCGTTTTAAATCAATCAGCTCCTAGAACCTTTATGTACTGAGCTGTCTCAGCTGTTTTCATGCCCTTTGCACTACCAGTGATTGTGAATAGACGTTAACTTTTTTCTTCTCCTTCCTCATTCTCTTCCCCTTCTCTTACTTTGACACAAATGTGGGGGTTTATGTTGTGTTTCTGAATTAGGTGCCACCTTCTACTGCAAATAATCTCAAAGTTGCAGCTGTTACTTTCTGAAGAAGAAGCAGTGTGACCCCCCTTCCCCAGCCCATTTCTCCATCTGGTTGCAAAACTTCAACTCCTGTCCTTCATCCCGGTTCCAAATGCCCAATAGCAAAGCACCCACTGAGATGCCCTCTGCCAAGACAGGCGGAGATTAGAGTTAGAAGGTTCTAGGCTCGTCCCATTTCTTTCATACCCACCCACTGCTCCATGGAAAAGGGGAAGCCTGCCCCTGGAAACCAGAGGTGTGCAGAAGCTCTTTGCTTCTATACATATTTACAGCAATAATACTGGACACGCCAGTGGAAAATGCTGTGACATTAATGAGATGAGACCACGGGGTGGGGCAGAATGAGGAGGGAGGAAACAAGATCTCTCCAAAGAAACCTGGACCATGCTATCTCTCAGACAGCGATATTCCTGCCCTTGTAAATCCTGTTGTTGGACTAGCCCATCTACTGCCTTGAACTGTGCAGACAAGACCCCTTCATGATGTCCACTACTGACCTTCTGCTCTGACCACGTAGGACCATTTTGAAGATGACCTTCAGAAATCAATAATATGGGTTTTAGTTTGTCTGTTTGTAGTTTATTTTTAAGACTAGTATTTCAGTAATTTAAAAAAAAAAATCAGAAGCACTGAACTTTCTACGTTTTATAACATTATTTTGTATATAATGTATATTTATAATCAAAACAGAAGTGTAAATATGTTTATTACTTCTCATGTAATGTTTTTAATGTGATGACAAAGTTTGAATTTTATTTTTTTTTTCCAAGCAATGAAAATACTTTCCTGCTACTACAAAGTTTACTGTGGTTTGTTCCTTTTGCACTTCAGGTTCCGTGGTTCTGTGACAGCCAAGAGTACCTGAAGCCGCAGAAGTAGGCTTGTCTGCCTGCTCCCTGCAGTCAGCCCTACATTTACACTTTGCACACTAACTGCTGTCAGCTGCTTTTATAACTGTCAACTGATGTCAACAAAGTTGTTCAGATGAGTGGCATTCATCTGACAGAAGAGCTACACATATTGATTTTATCATAGAATCATAGAATCATAGAATGGTTTGGGTTGGAAGGGACCTTAAAGCTCCTCCAGTTCCAACCCCCCTGCCATCAGCAGGGACACCTTCCACTAGACCAGGTTGCTGAAAGCCTCATCCGGCCTGGCCTTCAACACTTCCAGGGAGGGGGCATCCACAACTTCCCTGGGCAACCTGTTCCAGTGTCTCACCACCCTCACAGTGAAGAACTTCTTCCTAATATCTAATCTAAACCTCCCCTCTTTCAGTTTAAACCCCTTTCCCCTTGTTTTGTCACTAACTGCCCTTATGAAAAGTCCCTCCCCAGCTTTCTTGTAGGCCCCAATATATTGTGATATATTATATCATATTTAAGTTATATATATACAGACATACATATTGTCTTGCTATGGAGTGGGACTGAACTGTCAGGAAACTTATTTTTATTAACGCTTCGTTTTTCCTCTTCCATGACAACTTGTGGCATGGAAGATACAGATTTAATACATTTCAGAGCAGCTTGTGGCTTAATAAATGTGCTTGTTTGGGGTTTGCTTACAGAACAAGATACAATTACTATTTTTTTTTAAATATAATTTCTTTAAATACTTTCAGTAAGACCCAAATCTTGCCCTCCTCAGGTTACTCTTGCACAGCGTCTACATCTACGCCTGCAAGACTGTATCTTTGTTTGTTTGATTGCGATGGGTAAGATTTGTCTTTCACTTGTGGGATTAGGAGGAAGTTTCAGGCTTTCTCCTCCCGAGTCCCCTATGCTACACCAGCAGCCGTGTCCTTCCCAGGGCATCACAAAGTCATTATCCTCCATAGCCCCTTTGGAGGACATTTCTACAAAAATAAAAAAGGTGTAAAAAGCACACTTGTATAAAACACTCCCAGCAGGTTCAGTAGCCTTTGAAGCACAAACATTTACAGACAATTAAATTCCTCACTGGATCAGCTAGGTGTGATACAGCCAGCATCTGAATGCACAAAAGCAAAAAAAACCTATAAGAACAGGAAACCACTGCTGCTCTATTTTAAAATCAGACTTTTTTGTTGTTGTTGTTGCTGTTGTTGACAAAATGCCAAAAAAGCATCTTAGTGTTGGATGCCTTTCCTATCTTTCCCCAAAGTAAAACCTATCCAAAATTTATGAGGTTTTTTTTTTTAAATACAAAACAAAAAATCCCCACTGGCGATAAAAAAGCACCATAACAAATTATTTTACTTAAAAATACTGCAAATAATGGTACATGGGGGTCCTTCTGAGTGTATTATTAAGATTACATCAATACTATTTACTTTGGATGGTTTTGTTTCTCCCTCTTCAGTTCTTTTCTTAGCAAAATTAACTTTCAAATCCCAGCCAATTTCCCTGGCTACCATAAAAATAAATTTAAGATGAAACTCAGAAATAAAAAGCCACCTCCCCCTCCCCAAACATTCACCCTGTAGAGCAAATTATGAAAAACAAGCCATTGACAAAAAGCTGAGCAGATGCTCCCTGCTTGCAGTCTTTCCTCGGCAATGTGAAATAAACCCAACAGATGCCTCTCTTAATTGAGCACATGGATTACATACACACATGCACTCTGTCCTGCTTAAAACAAAACACACACCAAAATCAAACAGGAAAATAGCCAGAGAACTCTTCCCAAAGCCTAGGCAAGCATTTTCAGGAATGCTAAGTCCAAAAAAGACTTGGCTCTTCCTGCTCAAAAGAGACAGGAAACCGTATCCGTAGACAGAAGGGAGTTGAAATCCATTAAAACCCGTGGACCTGATTATGTAGATCCCACAGGGTAAAGCAGGTACAACACATGCCTTTGTGTATCCACACAGGAGAGAGGAAAGAAAGAAAAAAAAGCATCAGCTTACAAGGAAATCTGTGAATATTTACTGGAGGCAGTTCTGCACTGTGTGGCTACCAGAATAGATCACAGATCCCACACAGGAAAAACAGGAGCGGTGCCTGCTTCCACACAGGAGGAGATGGAAAGTATATGTGAATCGGTGCACGTGTGCACATCCCCAAGTCCTTGCCAAAGAAACTACAAGCAAATTAGCTGAGCACATAACATGACCTGGATTTAACCCGCATATTTGGCCAAAACTTCCCTTAGGGAGGGCTGCTGCGCACTGACTGCTCGCCAGCCCAGGGAGCGCATCTCAGAGCCACGGTGTGCAAACTCACCAGCAGGAGATCCAAGATCCTCCTGGGCTGTAAAGACTCAACCTGAACTTCAGAGATTCCTCTTGAGGACCACAGATGGTGCCAGGACCATAAATGTACTGACAAATAATGCCTTTTCTTTTAACAAGCTTATAGAGTTCTCAGATCCAACTGTACGACAAAACTTCTCTCAGCATAATTCGCACCAACTATAGCAAGATCACAGATTCAGCTCGAGGACTGCACCTAAACTTGGCTTTGAGTTTTAAAAGACTGCACAAACTCACTTAAAAGTAACGTGACAAAACAACAATGGAAAGAATGGATTCCTGACTCTGAGGAACTCTTTGGTGTTTCCTTGTATTAACACCTGATAGAAAATATTTCACAGCCACACAGAGCCCTTCAACCTAAACAATTTCAGAGCTGGATTGAGTGAGAGGGGTGCTGCTTCACTCGAGTTGTTCCATGTTCAGCTCCAGCCCTTCATGATTCATCTCTTTTAAACAGGCAGCTGATCAGGGGAAAGAGAAGCGGGGATATACCCGTAACTATAGCACCCACTGGTGCTGAGACAACATGCAGCAGGGCTGTGCTGATGCAAACACACCGCCGGGCACCGAGTTCAGGTAGGTTTGGGTAGATGAGGGATGCTTGTAGAAATTAGGCTTGATACAGGATGTTCCTAAAATGGGATAAAACGCAGAATGCATTTTGTTATGCACAATACTTGTCCAGCAACAGCTCTCAGTCTTGAAAAAGCCACTCAGAAAGCCTCAATTGGTTATTGTGCCATTGCAACCATCTAGTCCAACAGATGAAACCATCTCTGTAAAAATGCATTTCAAGTATTTTCATTGCTCCTCAGCCTTTTTTCATTAGTTCGTGCTAAAACGAGAAAGGCACAACAGGTCACTAACAAACCTGTATTATAGTTGCTTAAGCGACAGTTGTGTATCTATGTTTGCCTGTCATTCCCTTATCTCACACACCTGATCCATAAATACATATTGATTTTACACAGTAGATACGACACTCCCAGCACATTTTGCTCACAATC